TCAAACAGTGTTGCTCTGGATCTAGTCCATTCAGACAGCGTGTATAACATCGGAAATCCTGATCAATGTGACAACATGAGAAGTGAGGGTGCAGATTGGAAACTAGTCCTTTCCAACTGCCCGAACAACTGAAGCTATAATATGAGAAGTAAAGGTGCAGATTGAAAACTAGTGCTTTCCAACTGCCCTAACAACTGAAGCAGCAATGTGAGAAGTAAAGGTGCAGATTGAAAACTAGTGCTTTCCAACTGCCCTAACAACTGAAGCAGCAATGTGAGAAGTAAAGGTGCAGATTGAAAACTAGTGCTTTCCAACTGCCCTAACAACTGAGGCAATAATATGAGAAGTGAAGGTGCAGATTGGAAACTGGTCCTTTCCAACTGCCCTAACAACTGAAGCAATAATATGAGAAGATAAGGTACAGATTGGAAACTAGTCCTAACAATACGGCCTGGAACTTGCCTGTTCGGACCACTTGTCTAGTTTGCCTGCTATGCCGTATGATTGGGAACTGCAATTGCGTTTTCTTGGAATTTCCGACCTTGTATTCGATTATTCAAATAAATTGAAGTGGAAGTAGTGATGGCACGATTAATCGAATAACCGATTATAATCGGTTATTTTCATTCGGTTAACGATTTAATTGTATCGAAATTTTCCTTTCGATTAATCCAGCGATTAACCGATTAATTTTTCAAAATAATCGAAAAGAAACCATCAAAATTTACTAATTCACTCAGACCATAATGTATGTCAAAATAAGTTGGGATGTTTGTTACATTCTCGTATTCTGCAAATTTTTTAAACGATTTTTTTGCCAAAAACCGCAACACAAGCTTAACCTAAGTAGCTACTAAAAAATCAGAACCCAGGTATGCACATATTTTCATTTTATTTTCCGAAACAGAGAAATACCAAAAATCAGCGGTAAGTACCAGATACTTTAGTCTTGGAATTTTGTATACTGAAAATCTTTCTAAGAATTCTGCATAATTAAAAAGCTAGAATTTTTTTGTTGATTTTTTTTTAATATTGCACAAAGAGGTATATATTTATATTTATACGTTTTTTTGCTAAAGAATAAGCTATATTTAAAAAAGTAACTAAAATTAAATAACAAAAGTAAGTCAGTTTTTATAACTTATAAATGGTTTTTATTAATTTTCGATTTTTATCGAGATGACCGATTAATCGGTTAATGTCTTACGATTAATTGCAATTAATAACCGAATGCCTTCGATGAATCAATGAATCAATTAACCGATTAATCGATTATTAATTTTTTTTTGCCATCACTAAGTGGAAGGTCGGAACTTTTTGGAGGGGGCAATTGCATATTTTTATTCATGCGGCCTAATATAGACATATGTAATATAATATATACAGTTTTTGTATACATAATTTTATATTTAATTGATAATTTTTGCAATAAGAACATCACAATTCATATACATATGTATGTGTTGTATTATTAAGTCGTAAGACTGTAACAAATAAATAAATAAAAAATAAAACCTGAGTCATTCCTGTACGTAGAAGCGGCTGTCTTGGGAATGCAAGCTCGGAGGTGACTCCGTCTGTTGCAGGAGTTGCACCTTACAGAGGTGGATTTATGGTGTAGTCATCTCTGGCACATGCTGCAGGTATAAATTTTTGGCCCAGGATTTGACCCGATCTGGCATCGGGCTGGCCCTAAGCAGAAGTATGACAAGCAGATGTAGCCCTTTGGACGTACAACTTTTGAGAGATTTCACCGACCTAAACTGGGTTAGATCGCCGAAACAACAGCCCTTGGTCGGGTAAAACCCGAGTTATTCTGGTACGTAGAACCGGCTGTCGTGGCTCTAATACTATCTGCTGTCACGAATCGTTGGTACGTTAAAATCCACTCTGACTTTTCGATAAGTCTACTTCTTCTAGTAAAGGACCGCTTAGAAATTACCATATAATTTTGCATAAAGAATTTCCCAATGTTGGTTACTCGTTTTCTTACTTTTATAAAATAACAGCTATTCCAGCTAGGGTTGCAGGTGAAGCCTACTTTTAGCATGTTCAACAGTGGTCCAGTGTCCCGTGATCGAGACTGTTAACCTGGCAATAGTATTTCTAGACCTCCTTAAGAGGGTTTCAGTTTCTGACGTCATAGAGCGGTTAGATCTTCCTTGCAGTTTTGCAGGTTCGTAGGTTGTTCCTTTGGTTTCTCTCCGAGTGAACAGTTTGTTATTATTGTTTCTCTTTATTGTATTGTATTTTTATGTGATATTTCGGTATTGTTTCTCGTTATTGTATGCGTTCCTTAACACGCAGCTTAACATAGAGTGCAGAAGTGCTGTATGCTTTTATTTTTCTTTCTTTTAAGCTGTCAATAGTTTTGAGCTTCCCGAAATGGATCTAATGTGCGAATCTAACAGTCTTTCCAGAGCCTTTAGTGGAAATATGTAAGAATTATAGGCCTGTAGTCTTATGCTTTTGCCCGATTTGGGAATGAAAACCACTTTGTTAAGTAAAGCGTTTGGAAATATGAAGGCTACTCTCCTGCCTTTATTGCATATACCAAAGCAAGTATTTAAGATAAAATGCCTATTTTGATTTGCTGTTTTATTAATGAACTGTCAGTCTTCTATACGCTATTGTGATACTGAGGTTGATACTGCTGTGAACACTTTTAATTGTCTTCTGGCTCGAGGCGAAGAGAATGTCCCTATTGCAATAAGCTACTACGGAGCGTACCGCAATAAAACTCTTCCAAGTTCTAAATTACTGAATTGTCAGAACTCCACACTCCTAACAACAACGGAATGCCTTCTGATATCGCATGAGTACCAGCTGCTCATCGAGGCCTCAATGCTCCCAGTTAGGCTGCCCAGTTTAATCCTCAGCAAGCAATGGGTGCATTCCAAAACGTCAAAATACAAAGCACCAGTCCCTGGTATCTAGGACGCACTAGAACAAAAAGTCTTAACTTTCACAACCTAGTGGAAAATTAACATCTAACCATGGTTGCGCACATTTGGATTTCCAATATACTGAGGTTTAGAAAATTTGGCATCGTAACTGGGAGCGTTGAGGCCTCGATGTACAGCTAGTACTCGTGCGTTATCAGAAGGCATTTCGTTGTTTTTCGGAGTATGGTGTTATGACAAGTAAGTAATTTAGAATTTGGGAGCGTTTTTTTGCGGTCCGCCATAGACAACTGCTGATCATTCAGCTTTTGGCAAGAGTACCTCAACTCCTATAGTTAGCGTGGTACGGTTGTTTTGATATGCTCTCCAATCGTCTTGCTGGCTTGCATACCTGTATGATTCGCTAGCTCCCCTCGCGGTTGCAAAGTATATGAAGCTTTCCTCTTAGTTCATCTAGTTCTGGGAGCTCGCCCAGGGAGATTCTCTGATGGGCTCTGAAGGAGTGGCTATTGTAGCGGAGAAGATTTGAGCATGACTGCAATTCCTTTGGTCCCCGGGTTCGAAGCCAGTATAATTTTATATTACTAGATATTGATTTGCTTAATCTTAGTTTGTCGGTCCAAACAGTAATCTCGATTAAGTGTTGTAAGGTAGCTCGTTTCTTATGGGATGGTGACAAGAAAGTGGCTCACTTCCATGCGATGATTTTGGCATTACCGGTGTATGGTGGTCCAACTGCTGTCCAATGTATAGACATTTGACATTCACCACTTCTTTATTTTCACCTACACAACTTGGTTGGGGATTTGCCGGAAGGAATGCGGTGTAACTTTTTACCTTTTACTAAACCTGATGCAAGAAAAAAAAATGGAAACGAATAGCACGTTTACCTTCTATGTTCCCGCCTCGAACACACTGTACACTTACGGCTTTTTACTGTCAGCCTTTTGCGAATGCGAATATTGTGCAAGAACACTGATAAAACGTATATCTCGCAAACAAAATGACAAATTGTAGCCAATTTTTTTGGAGATGCTATGTTCAAACTGTCGCCGTACGTCCCAATTCTTTTGTAATTTAAAGTCAAAGAGTAAGATCCTTGAATAGGTATTTCCAGCGAATATGTTCAACATCTAGCTATAAAAAGAATCGACTATTCGTGCGGTAAAAGAAACCTTTAATAAGAATCGATTCAAGGTGAATTTAATATCTATTGAGGAGTGGGACTTGGCATGCAATATATCGTTAGTATAGTATAGAAAGGGCGTAAGCCACATCGGCGCTGTAATAAAAAAAGCCGTAACTAACTAAAAATCCAAAATTCACTTCTTGATTGATTATGATGCATTTCATCGAATCATAATTTCCCATATTCTTTTTTTGTAAAGACAATTTTTACGGGGTGCGTTTTAACAAAATAACAAGACTTTAAACTAATTCGGCGGGCAGCCACGACTTTCAAAACAGAATTTTCTTCGAAATTTTCATTCCTAGAAAATAACTATTTATTTGCCATATCTTCCTATTTAGAACCTCGCTATAATATAAGCACACATTTTCCTAACCAGGCACCGAAGAAAGGATTAAAGATGAATTACAAAAACTAAAATCGAAAAATGCTGATGACGATAAAGGTTTAACGACCTTTCAAGAAACAGGCTGTAACCCTTTTCTTTATTTATGCTTTCAATAAAGGCATTTCCCAAAAAATAATACAATAATTTAGTTTTAAGTTTTTGAGATGCTCATTCCAACCTATGTTCGAATCTATTTAAACTCTTAGATATTTAAAAGTATCAACTTTTTTTATTAAGACATTGTTGAGAACAAACCCTGAGAGGTCATCCTTGTCTGGTATTGACTTGTTGTTATTGAATATCCGGAAATTTGTTTTAGCCAAGTACTAAATAAAAAATGGTGTGGTAACTATCACCCCTTGGCAGTCGTGAGAAAACATTTGAGAGCATAAACACTGTGCCGTTAGAAAAAAAAAAAAAAACGATATAAATTGGAAAAGATCCTAACAAAAGATGAAATAACTGCTTTTACACATATTGAATTAATGGTATAATAACTTTAATAAAAATTTCGTTTCAGTGCCTACCTTTGTATCATTTTTACGAGACTTGGAATCACCTTATGAGGTTAAGGACTACATTCGGATGTATTTGGGTAAGGACTCTCTTTATTATTAAACATTTATGTATTTCAACTTACGTGAAACTAGTATTTTTGTTTTATAACATATCGCACACTAAATGCAAAGGGTTCACAACTCAAAATTTTCTAAAATCGTCTTTGTACCATATATAAGTTCACAAAAAACAAAACTAAGTAATGCAAAAATCAGAAACCGTAACGATTATGCGTTCTAATTAAATCATATATATAAATAGACAATCATGTTTCCTTTACACCTCTTTTACGGCTAAACTATACGTCTAAGGGATAAACAATAATGTATCATTAGAAAGTTAGTTTAATGTTGGTGTGCAAACAATTTTAAATTAGTTGAACATAAAGCGAAACAATCAATTCAAGAGTGACACCAATACCAATGGCATACATGTATATGGTTGGTCCGGAAATGCCTCCTAAATGTATGCTTTAATATCGATACTGAATTACAGAAACGTGCTAAGCAGCAGTTTAGGAACAAGGTTTATGTATGTACATTAGACTGCATTACCAAAAAAAGTTGCGGGTTTTCCGCCGGAATTACAAAATTTATTATATTTTAAGACGTTCACCAAAATATTTGGGAAAAATATTAAGATTTAAGTGAGCTGGACCGATTTGAAAATACCTCCAAAAATTAAGTTTTCTATGAATAAAAATAGTTTCGTAAAGAACTTTTTGAAAAAAGTCCCCTCAGATGACACAACAGATTAAGCTTAAAAAATCTGCATAAAAATATTTAAAAATCTTTCAACGGAATCGTAAGAATGAGATTTTTGATGCTGTTTTTTTTACTTTTTTCAAAGTTTGATTTACGAAAAACTTGAAAAGCTGGGCTAAAACTGTTCTGATATAGACTTATGGGATCTCAGTAGAAAGGTATTTTCACGCTGTTTTTATTTCTGTCAAAAAAAAAAATCATTCGTGTCCCAATTTTTTTTTTTCAAATACCAACACATCTTAATTCATCTTTGAATGACGTTCGTTCATCCTACCTTTCCCTTTCATCCTTTGAATGAGTTTATTAGCAAAGAAATAAAAAGGGTGAGAAAATACCTTTGCACCGACAGCTCTTAAGTCTAAATCAGAAGAGTTTAGGATCAGTTATTCAAGTTTTTTTTTATAACAGTCTTTGAAAAAAGTTAAAAAACAGCATCAAAAATCTCATCATTGATTCCGATAAAATTTTTAATTTAATTTTCTTTAAATATTTTTATGCAAATTTTTTACGCTTAACCCGTCTTGTCATTTGAGAGGATCTTTTTAAGAAACTATTTTTATTCATAAAAAACTCCATTTTTGGAGGTATTTTGAAATTGGTCCAGCTCACTTAAATCTTAATATTTTTTCGAAATATTTTGGTGGACGTCTTAAAATATAATAGATTTTATAATTCCAATGGAAAAATAGTACCGATTTTTTTTGTATGGGGAGTGATGCAGTCTAATGTACATGAATAGATTAAGACTCAAACAAGGAAGAAGGTAAAGTTGAGTATGTAGAAGAAGAAAGAAATAAATGCAGAGATTAGAATAAAAGTAAAGAAACCTAAACATAAAGAAAAAGAGGAAGTTAAATTTAAATACTTAACATAATAGCAAATGTGTGAGTGAATATAGAGATAAAGGAGAGAATATGAATTAAAGTCAAGGAAGTGATAAATATAAATGAAAAGATAAAAAAAGGGCAGAGACAAAGATAGACACAAAAAAGAGAAAAAGAAAAAGATAAAATTGACGAATGGCATGTTAAGTATGTTGGTTGTGTTGTGATGTTTTCTTTCTTAAACGGAGGGGGGAATCTTCCAGAGATGTTACGCACGATTCGTTGTTGTTGTTGTAGCGGCACTACTAAGCCCCGCCTGTTTCGGGTCAACTTTTAATCATTATCGTCAAGCTCAACTAACGGTATGCCCAGGAAACGAGCTGTTTCGATGGGGTCGGACCAAAGGGAGAGGGGTGTTAGTTGAGTCGGATTGAGCTGGCATGTGAAGAGGTGGTTGGTGTCGTGGGGGGAGTCTCCACATGCCGGGCACTCATTTGGGATGTTTGGGTCGAGTCTGGACAGGTAGCTGTTTAGGCGGCTACAATATCCAGACCGTAACTGAGCCAGAGTAACGCGGGTCTCTCTAGGTAATTGAAGCTCCGTCTCTTCCACAGGTGGTGATTGGGCTCCGATAACGACATTCTTAGGCCGGGAGTCGAGGTAGGTGGAGACTGACTCCCTATGAATGTCGTTAATCGCTTGTCTGTACGTCATTGGGTCCAGTGGTTGGTCTGTGTGCGTCTGGACTGCGTCCTTGTACACGAATAGGTGCCCCCTGACGTGCCTGGGCGGAGGCTCCTCCTCCAGCAGTGGTCTGTCTGGGTGTGTTCGCTTCTATGACACCCCACCAGAAACTGCTTACAGAGCATTTTGTTGTGTTCCCTTACGGGGAGCACTTGGGCCTCGCTGTGTAGGTGGTGCTCAGGCGTCATCAGAAGGCACCCAGTCGCTGTCCGGAGTGCGGCGTTCTGACAAGTCTGTAGCTTCGTCCACTGCGTCCAACTAGTCCCCGGTGACCAAACTGGCGCTGTATAATTTAGAACCGGCCGGCCAATTGCCTTGTATGTTGCCAACAACGTTTCTTTGTCTTTGCCCCAAGTGCTGCCGGCGAGCGACTTGAGGACCTTGTTGCGGCTCTGTACTTTGTTGACAACTGCGGTTGTGTGCGCGGAGAAGGAGAGCAGGCTATCAAAGGTAACAAAGGTAAGGTTGTTCACCGTCGGTATAGGTGTGCCGTCGACGTGAATGCCTAATTCTAGCCTGACCTCCTTCGTCCAGGTGGTGAAGAGGGTCGCCGTTGATTTCGTTGGGGAGAGGGTTAGGCTCCTTGCAGTGAAGAAGCGAGAAAGGCTGGAGAGATAGCCGTTTACTTTTGAGCAGAGGTCATCAATTCCATTCCCAGACGCCAAAATCGAACAATCATCAGCGTACGAGATCAGGGAAACTCCTTCAGGAGGCTGGGGGAGTTTCGAGATGTAGAAGTTAAAAAGTAAGGGGGAGAGAACACCACCTTGTGGAACCCCTTGTTTTATTCTTCTTGGTTTCGAGGTTTGATCTCTGAAGATTACTGATGATTGTCGACCACTCATATAATTCGCCGACCATCGCTTCAGTCCCTGTGGGAGAGAGGAGGCCTCAATGTCTTCTAGCAGCGTGGAATGGAAGACGGTGTCAAACGCCTTTGACAAGTCCAACGCTACTAGGACAGTTCTCTCGCAGGGGCGGTTACGATTTAGGCCACGAGTTATCTGGGTGTTTATGGTGTTAAGTGCTGTTGTTGTGCTGTGCACTTTACTGAAGCCATGCTGATGTTTCGCTGGGGTTAGGTGGCAGGTGATGTATGGGAGCAGCAGGGACTCAAGTGTCTTCGCGACCGGGGAAAGGAGCGTTATCGGGCGATAAGAGTCTCCTCTGTTGGCGGGCTTCCCCGGTTTCAGCAGTGGGACCACTCTCCCTGATTTCCACACATCAGGAATGATGAGAGTGGTCATAGACAAATTGAGGACCTCCGTGAGGTATGCTACTCCCACAGGCCCCAAATGTTTCAACATCAGCATACAGATTCCGTCGGGTCCAATGGCTTTGGAGGCTTTCGCCTTCCCGATGGCCCCCTTCACTTCACCGCTGGTGAAAACAAGTGGTGCATTGTTTTTGGGCAGTTTGTGCAGCCTCCTGGTCACTCGACGTTTGGCCTTGTCTACCGAAGGATGCAGTGTGAATTGCCCACTAGAATAGTTCGCGCATCGGGTCCGACGAAGCGTGACCTTCGAATGAGATTTCCACTCTGTCATCACGCTTCGTCGGGTTGGACAAGGACCTCACGGTTGACCAGAGCTTACTCACACCAGAGGTGAAGTTACAGGCCTTCAAGTGCTCTTCCCACTTTTTCCGCTTATGTTGATTTACCAGTTGCCGAATCTCCAAATTAAGGTCCCTCAAGCGAGGGTCCCCGGGGTCGACCTGGCGTAGGTGGTCGCGCTCATTTGCTAGTACAGCTGCTTCAGCCGGGAAATTTGGGCGGACTTCCGCGATACGTCCGGACGGTATGAAGCGGGCTGCTGCGGCAGTGACTACCCTGCGGAACTGGCGTTCGCCAGCATGTACGTCTGTGGGTGTGGGGAGGGCGGCGAAGCTGCTCTCGGTAACTTCCNCAGCCGGGAAATTTGGGCGGACTTCCGCGATACGTCCGGACGGTATGAAGCGAGCTGCTGCGGCAGTGGCTACCCTGCGGAACTGGCGTTCGCCAGCATGTACGTCTGTGGGTGTGGGGAGGGCGGCGAAGCTGCTCTCGGTAACTTCCGCGAAGCCGTTCCAATCAGCTTTGTTGAAGTTGGTGTAGGTTCGGTGATCCGCGGGAGCAAAGTCGGTGGGCTTATTGATCGAGATGATTATGGGCAGGTGGGGTCTGATGCTAACGTTAGCATAGGTCGCCATGATATGCTATTTATCAGACCAGCGCTAGCAATTGTTAGGTCTGGCGAGCTGCTGCAGCTGCCCACAATCCTGGTGGGGGCGTCGTCGTTCATGGTGCAGAATGTCGAATCGTCTATCTGCTCAGCCAAAATGTTTCCCCTCCGATCATTGGCCAGGCTTGAATGCCAAAGATCGTGGTGCGCATTGAAGTCACCTACTACCAATCGGTTTTCGCCTCTGAGTAGCGCACCTATGTCAGGGAGATATTCAGCCGGGCAGCAGGTGACAGGGGGTATGTACACGTTAAATATTTCGAGCTCGACATCGCCTGAACGGACAGCTATGCCCTGACATTCTAGGGTAGTGTCCCTTGGGTCGATGTCTTCGATGTATTACGTCGCAAGGCGTAGCTTTGCCAATTGGCTCTTCCCATAGGCCTTTCTGGCCTACCTCTTGTTCAGTCTTCTATTATCGCTACTGCGCTGCCGCTCTTTCCTTCTCAGTTCTCGAAGAACTATAGCGGACCACGCTTTGACTCTATTCCACACCATTCTAGATTGCATCATGTGGCGCGCAATATATTCTGGCGTCACTCGATCGTTTATCAGCTTTTCTAGGTCGGCGTCATACTTCGTACAGGAAAAGAAAATGTGCTGCACGTTCTACTACCGCAGAAAGAACACTCTGTCCCGTCATCGTGTCCGTACTTGTTCAGATATTCTCTAAAACAGCTGTGCCCCGTCAGAAACTGCTAGATAGTAATCAGTCTCGCCGTGTTTCCTCTCAACCCACGCTTGAGCGTTACCGATTAACCTGTGCGTCCACCTTCCTTTCGTCGTCGCATTGCAGCGTCTCTGCCACTCGTTTAAGCTAGTCTGTCTTTCTTCTCTCCGTTCTTCAACTGTTAGTCGCCTGCCGATGTTTCTTGACTTGTCGAAAATTCTCTAAGTTCCATGGCCATTATATCTGGTGGCATGATGTTCGCTATGACTTCAACGGCCTCGTGTGATAGCGTGCGGAACGCACTGACAACCCTGATAGCGTTTAACCGGGTTGTCGTTGTTGTTGTTGTAGCGGCTACAACAACTCGCCCAGATCGGTTGATAATCTCAGTCGTTGTCGTCAAGTTCCACTACGGCAGCCCTAGGAAGCGTGCAGGCTCTATCGGGTCGGTCCACAAGGACAAAGCCGTTAGGGTTGTCGTGTTTTCCGGGCATGCGAAGAGATGTTTCGAGTCATGTGGGGTCTCTCCGCATGCCGGACACTCATTTGGCACATCCTCATTCAATCTACTTAGGTAAGAGTTTAAACCTGCTGCAGTAGCCAGAGCGAAGTTGGGCTATTTTCGTTCGTGTCTCCCGAGGCAGATGAAGCTCCGTCTCGTCTATGTCCGGTGGTGGTGTGCCTAGAACGGCATTCACAGGTCTAGAGTCTACATAACTCGAGACTGACTCCCTGTGACTGCCGTTCAGGGCCGGTCGGTAAGCTGACGGGTCCAGAGGCTGCTTGACGAACCTCTGGACTTCGTCCGTCAGTTCATATAGATGCCTCCTGACGTGCCTAGGCGAGGGCTCCTCTGCAAGCAGCTGTCTGTTCGGGTGGCCACTTCTGTGGCTCCCGATCAGAAACTGCTTGCAGAGCATTATGTTGTGCTCCTTTATAGGGAGCATTTGTGCCTCGTTGTGGAGGTGATGTTCTGGCGACATCAGGAGGCATCCTGTCGCTGTCCTGAGTGCGGTGTTCTGTACAGTCTGTATCTTCGTCTACTGCGTCCTACTAGTCCCCGGCGACCACACTGATGCTGCGTAGTTTA